TCCACCTTACTTGATATTAATCTACAAACTGTGTAAAGGGTTAACAATGGTTAGCAAAAAAATAAAAATCAAAATCAAAGCTATGCCATTACTCAATACGACCATCCTACATATTTATCTTCTTTCAGTGAGAGCATCAATTGTTGACTCCATTCCATCATTTATAATGGGTACCCTCAGGAAGGCTTTTTCACTTCAAATTCTTTGTAAGGAGAAGTAATCCACTAAGGATGTTAGACAGTCAAACACTGGAATGGTCTGAGAAGCACAGAGACAAGGACTCTTTATCCTTGATTGGCACAGAAGAGCCAGATTCCCACAAGGGCAAAACATTCAGACACTCCCCAAGAGAGTGATCAACTTTAGTGGAGCTGCAGGTTTATTTTCTCTGGGTTTTGACATAACAAACAGTCTCAGTTACATCTCAAGAATATTTGTACCTCCTCTTTCAGCACAAGGGCATTTACTTCACTTATATGTTGCTTACAAAAGGCACATTGTCAACAAAGTTAGCCTAATATACCATTATCCCAACCTCAGTTTTTTCTGCACCTAAATTGTTGAACTTCTTTTTATTTTTTTAGGAATTATTCATGGTTTCAAATGTCTAATCTCTTTGTTATTAGACTTATAGTATCTCTAAAAAGAAAACACGGAAAATTGAGAAAAGGAAATATCTTTTGAGACTGAACTGATTCATATGATTGGGTTAAGTAATTGTACTTACATAAGTAGAGTTGTGGCAACTCTATCCTAGATACTTATCTATAATTGGGCATTAATCACAGGTATGGTCATTAATTGGGTGTTTCCAGTTGTTGTCATAACCCATAATTCTCTAAACTGATTCTACGAGCAATAGCTGGGAATATCTAAATTGTAGGCTGACCCTATCTAGGTCATTAACATTAGTAAATATAACATTCTAGGGAAAATCAAAATTGCATAACGTTCATCCAGTAAAAATGAGAAAAGAATAAAAAGCAAGTGTGTGAAAGACAATGAGGCAATCAGTGCTTCCATGCATTTTGAATCATCTTGTTCTGGGTAGAATCTATCTGTTTCAATGGGATGTCTTCATGTTGTGGAAATCTTGAGTCTTCAATCAATTTCTATGGATTATCCACTTTTTTATTTATTTATTTTTTTGGTGAGGAAGGTTGGCCCTGAGCTAACATCTGCTGCCAATCTTCCCCTTTTTTGCTTGGGGAAGATTGCCCATGAGCTAACATCCGTGCCAATCTTCCTCTATTTTGTATGTGGGATGCCTTCATGGCATGGCTTGATGAGTGGTGTGTAGGTCCGTGTCTGGGATCCAAACCCATCTACCCTGGGCCATGGAAGTGGAGCACGTGAACTTAATCACTATACCACTAGGCTGGCCCCTGGATTGTCCACTTTAAGAGGTTCCCTGGAGAATTTCATTTTAAGATTTCTAACTGATGTAAGTTTTCAATTGTCTTCTATTGAGGATGGATTATTTTAGTAGAGAAACGTGTATCCAAGGACTATTTCCTTGCAGTTTAGCAGCTATACTCATACACAAAATTATCCTGATGAGGTCACTTCTGGTAAGGCTCAAGGGCAGCCTTTCTCTGGTGTCTTTTCCAGAACACCAAATTACCTAATTTCAGGTAATGTCAGGGCTGCTTGATTAGGTGGTTGATGAGAAATTCATCCTATACCTGTTGATATTAGAACTGAGTATATTAGGCTAGTCATTCTAGCCAGATCAGCTTATATGGTGGGACTTAAGTAAGGTTGGAGATATTCCTAATTAAATAGGTTATTGGTGACTAGCTAACAGGATGATGCTACGTGACTTTTTGAATAAAAATAATGAAGGACTATGAGAGCTAAAAGTAATATGTTAGGCCAAGAGAGTTCATGAATGTCTCATAAGTTAGCCAATTCCAGCTCTAAAATTCTAAAATTCTGAATAAAGTAGGAATAGATTCCCAGTGATTTGTGAGATTATATCAAATTATCTAACTATATCTAATTATGTCAAATATATAATTGGAGTCCTAGAAGGAGAGGAGAGACAGAGAGATAGAAACAAAACTTTCTTTTTTGGTGAGGAAAATTAACCCTGAGCTAAAATCTGTTGCCAAGCCATCTCTTTTTTTTTTCTTGAGGAAGATTAGCCCTGAGATAACATCTGTGCCAATCTTCCTCTACTTTTTGTATGTGAGATCCCTCCACAGTATGGCTGACAAGCAGACTAGGTCCACACCCAGGATCCGAACCCACAATCCCAGGCCTCCAAAGTGGAGTGCGCAGAACTTTAACCACTCAGCAATGGGACCAGTCCCACAAAACATTTTTTAATGGCCAAAAAATTGCAAATTTGATTAAAAATATCAGCTTACAGATCCAAGGATCTCAACAAACCCTAAGCATAATAAACACAAGGTAAAACAAATGCAAGAATATGTTAATTAAATTTCTCAAAACCAAGGATAAAAGGAAAACCTTAAAAGCAGTTAGAATCAGTAAGATGCTCTAGACTCCCCAAACCCTAGACATACCAACTCAAAAATAACACACAGCTTAATTCCCCTTGTGGGAAATCCAGAGACCAGCTGAGAAACTCCTGCACACCAGGCAAGTATGAGACCAGCTGTATAAGAGCCAGTAGGAAAATACGTGGCACGTTCTCACCATAATCCTTCACCCCAGCACAGCACTTCATGGTTAGAAGGAAGCCCCCAACTCCTACATTGTCCCTGGGGAGAGAAGGAGAGGACTGGACCATACACCCAATGATCTGACTTTTCAGGAGCAGCCTGAGGGACTTCTCTTTTGTCCTGCCTGAGTCTGAGTGCTGAGAGGAAAGAGCCCCAGGTTGGGGACCACTAAGAACAAAGGTCATGATTTGAACTAGTGAGCATTCACTGGAAATAGCTTCCCTCCCCTGGCTTAAGGCAGAGTGAGCAGGCAAAAATTCTCAAATTCTAGCTTTCCCCCCAAACAAAAAATAAAAAATGTTGGTAAGGATGTAGAGAAATTATAACCCTTTTTCACTATTGGAAGAAATGTAATATGGTGCAGCCACTATGAAAAACAGTAGGACAGTTCCTCAAAAAATTAAAAATAGAACTACTATATGATCCATCAGTCTCACTTCCGGGTATATGACCAAAGGAATTTAAATCAGAATCTTGAATAGCTATCTGCACTCCCAAGTTCATTGCAGAAATAGTCACAATGTCCAAGATGTGGAAAAACCTACATGCCCATTGACAGATGAACAGATAAAGAAAATGTGGTATATCCAAACAATAGAATATTATGCAGCCTTAAAAAAGAAGGAAATTCTGCAATATGCGGCAACATGAATGAAACTTGAAGACATTATGTTAAGTGAAATAAGCTAGTCACAGAAGGACCAATACTGCATGATTCCACTTATATGAGGTATCTGAAGAAATGATATTCATGGAAGCAGAAAGTGGAATGTGGGTTAACAGGAGCTAGGGAGAGGAAAAGATGATGAATTGCTTTTAAATGGGTATAAAATTTCTGCTATGCAAGATGAAAAAATTATAGAGATCTGTACAACATTGTGTTTACAGATAATACAGATAATACAGATAATATGTAAACACATAATACTATGTGAGACACTTAAATATTTGATAAGATCTCATATTATGTTTTTAGCCACAATAAAAATAAACAAAAATTTAAAAGGGGGGACAAAGAAGTCAGACGCAGAAAGATAAATTTCATCCAGAGAACAATGGTAAGAATTATGGTCAGCGTCTCTACCCAGAGTAGTCTTGTCTTTATACGAGTAATTCATGCTCATACTGCAACTTGGAACAATTTGATAACATGTCAAATGTTTTTTATCTTGCCAATTTAGAAAACAAGTCATATTTGGTATTTACCATTTTAATCTAGTTTACAGAATGTATAAATGTAATGTGATAAAATTCCGCAAATTAGATACACGTTTGTAGATTTTTTCCTGATTAACCTTAAATTTAAACTATTTTTGCTATATAGCCTTTAACAATTATTACAATTTTAGTTTTGCATGTATGTTGTTTCTGGATATCAAGATGTTAAATTGTCCTGCTATTGTGATATGACAAAGTACTTAAATTCTTTTGTTCTGCATTTCATGAACACACTCTAAATAAGGATAAATATGATGCTGCTGGAAAGAAGAATAAATGACACTACTAGAATAGTGGGTTGCATTTATTCTTTATTGATTATGGATATTTTCCTTACTAGTCATATGGATTAAAAGAAAATTGTAAACCAGTGAAATAAGTCAGATGAAGAAACACAAATACTGCATAGTATCACTTATATGTGGATTCTAAGAAAAACAAAAAAGTGGAACTCATAGAAACACAGAGTAGAATGGTGGTTTCCAGGGTTGGGATGTGGAGGAAATAGGGAGAGGTTGGTAAAAAGGTACAAACTTTCAGTTATAAGATGAGTAAGTGCTGAGGATGTAATGTATAGTATGATGACCATAGTTAATAATATTTATCACTGGAATTTCCTAAGAGTGTAGATCTTAAGTGTTCTCACACACACACACAAAGTAAGTATGTGAGGTGATGTATTAATTAACTTGGTTGTGGGATACTTTCACAATGTACACATATATCAAATCATCATGTTGTACACTTTAAGTAAATTATAGCTTTATTTGTCAATTATGCCTAAATAAATCTGGGGAGGGGGTGAAGGGAGGATAATGGAAAAAGAGAGGGAAAATTACACTATTCATAAGATAATATCATTTTGTCTCTAGATAAGTAGGTATCTCTAGCTCTTGGCAAAACTGACAAGATATGTCTATTGTCAACAATCCACGTGTGAGATAGGAATTCCAGGAAAAGCATTAGGGCAGATACAGCTGAATAAAGTCTCACTGAGATCCAAAAGTGTAGGAAACTGGACAAGACCAGAGTTCACTACAGGAATGTCTGGCCATGCCAGTTCTGCTGGACCAAAGGGAAGTCTATGAGTGGTTTGCGAGCAGAGATGGTGGTGGCTCTGTTGACCATTCACACTGCTTTCCCAGAACCCAAATAACATGCACTGCTTTACTGCTAGTTACAATTTATTAGGCACACAATTCCACTGGTTCCAGTCACAGGGCATGGAGATATTATGCATATTGTGACTCATTTTCCGTATAATTTTGTTGGCTCTGTCTGTATGGTTATATACAGGGAAGCCAAGTTTGTCTAGAACCTGGGTATGGACACGCATGATATGGGAGATGAGACCCTGCCCCCGGTACTCAGGCACAGTGGCACCCATCCGCATCTCTCCTGTCTGGTCCACCAGAGACCAGGACACAGGGGTCCCCTCAGGCCCCAGCAGGCATACGGTGGGGAAGTTCCGGATACAGCGCTCGATGAATCTCTGGCTCCTCTCATTGCCACCGAAATTCCAGAATTTATCCACCAAGGCAGCGTGGGTAATGTCCAGGGATGAGAGTTTAAACATCTCTTGGTTACTACAAGGCAAAAGAATAGCCTATGATGTCACACATACTGTGCAATATTATATTTGTTTTCCCAAATCTGTCTTCAGATCATGCAAATAAGGGCCCAGGTAAAGGTATAGAGTCTGCAGGCTGACTGCCTGGATTCAAAATCCGACTAGCTGTGCGATCTTAAGCAAGCAACATAATGTCTGTCTGCCTCCAATTCTTCTTTATAAAATGGGATATTAGTAGCACCTCCGTCAAAGAAAGATTGAATATTATAAGAGCTATTGCATGATAAGTACATAGGACTTGTGCCACATAAACAATAAGAATTACCTAAAAATTAAGTGTTGTTCTTCTTGACGTTGGTAACTCTCCACTTAAGATGGAGGAATTTTAATCATCCCCGTTTTACAGATAAAAATATAGGTAAACAGAAAATAAACGAGTTCCTAAAAGCACATGCTAGCAAGTTGTAAAGCCAGAGCTTTGAATCATGGAATTTTAGAACGTTGGCATCAGGGGGCAGTGACGTGGAGTGTAAACAGCCCCCAAGTTACAGAACACTGAAGTCTGAAGGCTTCTGCAGTGGTGCAAAGGGGCTTTGGAAGGAGTCCTGGAAAGAGCTCACAATGTGGAACTAGAAGATCTAGACTCAACCCCAATTATGCCCTTAACCATCTATGTGACCTGAACAGGCTATTTCATCATCTGAGCCTGTTTTCTTTCAGGAACATGTGGATAATATCTCCTACCTTGTCTATCTCATGAGATGGACACAGAGTCAAATGAGATTCTAGATGTGGAGGTGCTTTTCTGGTTGCAGTGTGATCCAATGTGAATAAAGCTTTCCAGGCATATTAACACACAGTGGGCCGTGGGTTTGGGCATCTCTAGATCAAATCCCCACTATCAGTGTTCAGTTCTATTCACATTAGATTGGCTCTCAATGGGGGAAAAGATATAATTTGTTGAAATTCTCTCTGTTGGAAAACTTGTGCTCTGTGAAGTAAATTCATTAAGTGTGTATTTATCAAGCATTTACTATGTGTTTTGTTCTGGCCATTGAGGATCTATGAGTGAACAGCATAAAGAGGATCCCTGCATTAGTGGAGTTTAAAATATTGTAGGAGAGGATCAAACAACAAACAGGTTGATAAATATACAAATAAGCTGATTTCAGATAACAATAAGGGCAACGAAGAAAATAAAAATTGGTTTTTCTGATGAAGAATTACAAGAGGGGGTGGTTTTAGATGCTTTGAGAAGAATTCTCTAAGGAAGTGATACTTAAGCATATGATTGACAAGAAGGGACAAATATGTGAAGATCAGACGGAAGGTCATTTTAGACAGACAAAGAGCAAATGCAATGACCCAAAGGAATGGGTGAGTGTATGAGATCAAGTTGCAGAAAAAAGGCCAGAGCTGTTGGTGGGAGTAAGAAAGAGGGGCAAGATGAAGCCCAAGAGGTGACGTGATGGGTGCCAGGTCTTATAGGACCTTGAAGGTCATCCATAAAGGAGTTTGGATTTTATTCAAGACGAGCTGAGAAACATGAAAGACTTTTAAGTGAGTGACTTGACATGATTTATGTTATATACTAAAAGGATCACCCTGGAAATGGACTTTAGGGAGGCAAGAGTGAATGTAAAGAGAAAAGTTGGGAAGCTACATCAGTAGTGAAAGCTGTGAGCCGTGGAGAGCACCTTTGTTCAAACTCACATGGCCTTGGGGCTGATAGATTTAAGCGGTAAATTCTTTGTCTCTGGCAGGGAAGGGAGCAGTTTCCTTGCTGTCTCTGGCATCACATAGAGAATGCGTTGTGTTTGCTTGACCTTGACCAATTTAGTGCTTCCAAGATTCTGTATCACCTCATTCAGGCTGGACTGTGAACCTAGAGAAGGGTAAAGTTAGGAGAGAAGTAATTGCCCATTTAGATGCTACAATAAGCTTCCCAATGGAGGTAGGCAGAATTTGAAGTCAGGCAATGTTGCTTCTGGTGTGACCAATAACCATGTGACCATGGCCACGTCACTCTCTGAGCATGTTTTCTCTTATGCAAAACAGAGATAATACTAGAAATCCTGACTATATCAGTGTGAAACCAAAAGAGAAGTGATATTTAAAAAATAGTAGCCAACCTTGCATGTGCACACATTACATGCCCAGGTATTAGTCTAATACTATATTTAATTCTTACATTGACTCCATGTTGTAAGTACTTTTATTATCCTCATTTTTAATATATGAGGAAATTGAATAATAGATAAGTTACATCACTTGTACAAGATCACAAAGCAAGTAACAGGCAGAGCAAGGGTGCCACCTGAGGGAGTAACCACGGTAGTTATTCTCACGACCAGGGAGGTGCTCTATGGCACAAGGAGCTGTCATTCTCATTCTAGGAATGGAAGGCAAGAGAGGGGGCTCTGCTCTCACACCTAATCTTAAGGGATCCTGAATATGTCTGCAAAATATGTCAGAAATCTTCAGCTAACAGTTCCTTATATCAACCCTATAGTTTACAATGATTGAATTCTACGCCACTGAAGAGGTAGTGGCAGCTGATACAAGGAATGAACAAGGAATCAAGCTGAGTGTCTGAGGTTTGGTAAAAGGAAATAAACATTGTAAGGGAATGTGCTTGGGATGAAAAGTGATCCTGCTGGTGAAAACATGAGCAGTTCCAGCTGCCGGCTCACATTCCAGATCTCTTACTTACTTTGGATCTGCAAATGTTGTTTCCAATTGATGACATCTGATGTACCAAGGAATTCTTGACAGTTCTTGGGATGCTTAGAATAGATTTGGTAGGTGTTGGTATAGTGATCAAAGTCATCTGTCATCTCCTGTTTGGTTGGGCAACATGGAATAAATCAGATTGATTGTATGCAGTGGTTGGGATATTTGTGTTTAGTATTTCATGACAGTGTACTATTTTACAAACTTAAATATTTATATTTTTCTTGGCCTACTGTCATTACTCCTGAATCATTTACATCATGAGAACAATTCAGGGATTTAATCAATTATTCAATTTGTGATTAAGAAAAACTTGCTGAACTAGATGTTTGTATGTTGCATTACAATTTCAAATCAACGAAAGGTGCACCAGTTTAGAAAGCGTTCTTCTGTAATTCTGTAACCCTCAGGAGAAAGAAAGAAAGTATTATTGTCAAAAGCAGGATTTCATTGCAAGAGTAAATCTTATTTTATTTCAAAGAGTCTCAGAACAAATGGATTCTGAATAAGACAATATTGAAACTGACACAGGTAACCTTGTATCAGAATTTTCACTTACGATAAAGCTATGCAAAACGAAGACACATGATGTCTTTGAAATGTAAAACACGATGAACTGTGGTTTAAAAAAAATTCACATTCCCAGCAAAATTGCCACACAAAATTTGTTCAAAAAGATCTTCTCAAAGTTAACAAATAACAGATGGGATTATCTGAAGATGAAGGAAGGAGCCAGAGAACAACTCAAGGGTAAAAGAGTTGGGGTGTTGCATAGGAAGGCATTCATCACTTAGCGTTAATGCCACTGATGATCTGTGTTTTTATTAAATCACATAAAGAAAGCAAATATTATTCCACTTTTAGATTTAAATAATTGATCTATCTTAACTTTTGTATTGTGTTTAGTTTGGTATTTTTAAAAAACCACTATACTTTTAAATTTTATTTGTAAATAATTTACATCAAAATGATACTATATGATTACATATTTTTACATGAGGGAATTTCTACTGTGATATTTTTCAATATGCGTATAATGTACTTATATTTGAAATGTATTAACCACTTAATTTGAGTGATTTTAGAAGTCTGGCACTGAAAATATATTCCCAAATACAGGCATTGTAATTTGTTCTTTATATTTTCCTGACATTCTTCATATTTGCCTTCACATACTTTTAGGTGCTGTTTTCTTTGCTTAGAATGCATCCTGTGTTCTTGTCAGTCTGTCAAAACCTATTAATCTTCAAAATCCAGCTTTGGTGAAATGTCTAACAGAAAGCCTATCTGATTCTCTCCCTGCACCCCCTGACATTTATAGATTTAATCACCTCTTGCCCAGCGTTACTTCTGCATCTTGTATGTCCTCGTATACTTTTGTAATTTTCATACCATGTTATAACTTATTTACTTTCCTCCAGGCTGAGAGTTTCTTAAGGACAGGGACCGTTCACCATCACTGTGATTCATTTCTGTATCCCCTGGGTCTACCACACTGCTGGGTACATGGTAGGCACACAGAAAATAAGAACAAAGAAGCATATTTATTCTTCGTCTGGCACCTTACCTGCTCCTGAGGGCGGATAACCACTGTATTAAAATCAGGCCACTTGTCCACCAGGGCCTTGAGCTTGAATGGGTTTCCCTGATTCATGTGGAAGACACTCCCATAAACCTGCAGCATCCGGAGAAAGTGAGAAAGTCAGTTTATTAGGAAGGGATGGCAAAGTGCCTGGTTTCATCAGAACAAGACATATTTCTATGAAATCAGGGTAAGTAACTGATAAGGCATCAAGTTCAAGCAGTCTTTGGGTTCTATCTTATTATTCCAAATATAAATGGATTTGGGGTCAAACCATGAGAATATTATATGATAATAGTTAAATAAACAGATAAATGAAATGAATAAATCAGAAATCATCCACGATTACATTGTAGAATTTAGGGTTATAATTTTCCAATTTATTTCATTTATTTACATATACACACAATTTTTAAACAATAAAATTGCCTAATATATATTAGTTTAACATCTATCCCCTCTCACACACACATACATGTACTACTCTATGGGCATATTTCCATGTCAATAAACCTACATAATCATTTTTAATGACTGCATAATATTCATTACATGGAAGTTTTGGAATTCGCTTTTCCTGTTTTCCATTGCTGGTCATTTCAGTTTTCTCTAACTTTTTAGTTTAAAGGTTTATTCTTCAAGGAACACTTATTTTACGTAAATCTTTGCAAATGTGTCTGTTATTACAAATTTTAGAAAGAGAATCTCTATGTCAAATGTCAACTTCTTTTAAAGATTTTTTTTTCTTACGCATATCTCCAAATTACTTCTTGGAAAAGTTAAATGAGCTTCTGCCTATTTAATAAGTAGAGACAGAGCATAGTTTGGTGACTAAAGTCCTAGACAGAGAATAGTTTGGTGACCAAAGTCTGAGCATATCATACATTGGGCAATCTGTTTAAACTTTCCCACAAACATCTGTTCAAACATCAGTGCCCTCAAGAAGAACACTGAAGAGACTGATAAAGAGAGATCCTCCAAATTGGAAGGGGCCTGTGGTTGTGGGGAAAGAAAAAACAGCAATGCATACTTTAAGACCTAAGTGCAGTGGAAACATGATGCCTCAGCACATGGTATGAGAAGATACTAAAGACCAAAGACCAAGGGAATGATGGATATTTCAATGACCAGGGACTATACGCCACCCTGTGCTTCCCTATAGTTGCCATGAAATGTTTACGTCAGACTTACAGAGAAACAAACTGACTTTACTGAGTTTTTATGAAGTTATTAAATTTTCTGCCATCAGCAGGGACTCAATATAAAAATTAAATGCAGTTTTAGGAAAAAGAAAAAGGTTAAATTTTTTAAATATTGAGGTTTGGAACCAATGATATTCATATACACTAGATTAAAAATAATCTGCATGGAAAAATTTTTTCTATGCACATGGTAGCACCACTAAGCCAGACCATAGTGACCCAGGTAGCCACTACAAATTGAATGAATTAGAGTTGACATGTGAGATAAACCTATTCAGTGTCCACTATTTAGAGAGATAGATGGGCAGTCCTTCAGGCCATGATACACAAATCTTTCTCTCACCTGAGACTTTAGTGAGTATTGAATGGGAATGATTTTTAGGTTATACCTTTGTAACAAGAGCCATTTATACAAATAGTCTAGATTTCTACCTATGCAAAGAACTATGTCATCAAAGATTCATCTGAGGGGAGAGGAGAACCATCTACTCATTAAAGATGAGGATCTAATATTGAAGGTTACTTTGCCTCACAATAGAGTTGGACTCAGGGTAGTACCAGGAGTTTTCTCTAAAAAGTTGGAATCCACTTAACACAAGAAGTGAAGAACGATTCAAACCCCAGAGATTCCCCCTATAGAACATAGAAGAACAAAATTTTAACCTGGAAAACTTTTCACAGCAGCCACTCAAGATAAAAATATCTCAGTCCACAGAGTATCTAACTGATTTACTTACCGTGCCCTCCTAAAAAAAGGAAAGGTCGTTAATTCATTGGATAGGATTGCCAGTTGAAGACCAGTTGAAGTGTTAATACAGGCAACTGTTAGTGGATGCCTACCAAAATAGATGATTCTAGTTTCAGCATAGTTGATCTGGAGTCACTCTTTATGTGGTAATTAAAGGGCAGAACAGGTAGGCACTAATCCACATCTAGTAAAGGAAAGTCTGATGATTTCCTTTTCCCCAAATGCATAGTCACCCTGGTAAAAAGGGGTAAGTCCCTTTGGAAAAGACTGGAAGAAAGATTAACAGGATACTTTTTGTTCTTTTGGTGAAGATTGGCCTTGAGCTGGGATCTGTTGCCAATCTTCCTCTTTTTGCTTGAGGAAGATTGTCCCTGAGCTAACACCTGTGATAATCTTCTTCTACTTTTTATATGCGGGAAAGCCACCACAACGTGGCTTGATGAGCAGTGTGTAGGTCCGTTTCTGGGATCTGGGCTTTTGAACCCCAGGCTGCCGAAGCAGAGTACACGAACTTAACCACTATGCCACCGGGCCAGCCACTGACAGGATACATTTTTGGCAGTGTGGTGAGTCCTTCCTCAAGTGTACCATCCTTCTCTTCATTCAAGGGGTTCTGGTTATGTAAACTGGCTCAAGTCTAGGAATTAAATGGGAGGTCGTGACTCTCTCTCTCTCTCTGTCTGTCTCTTTTTTTGGTGAGGAAGATTGGTCCTGAGTTACCATCTTTTGCCAATCTTCCTCTTTTTGCTTGAGGAAGATTGTCCCTGAGCTGACATCTATGCCAATCTCCCTCCATTTTGCATGTGGGGCGCCCCCACAGTGTGGCTTGATGAGCAGTGTGTAGGTCTGCAGCAAGGATCTGAATCCATAAACCCCAGGCTGCCAAAGTGAGTATGTGAACTTAACCGCTATGCCACCAGGCAGCCCCGTGACTCTCTATTTTTATGATTCAAGTTAGACTTTTGAGTTCATGTAAACTACATGGTGTAGTTCCTGATATTTAGTAAGTGTTCAAGAAATGTTGGCTATTAATTTTATCATTATCATTTTATTTAATCCTCCTAATAACTATGTGGGGTAATGATAACCCTGTTAAAGGTTGAGGAGTTTCTACCAGAAGTATTTACTTTCCAGTTTTACTCATTCTACATGCAATAACACTGAGATTCAGAGATGTTTAATTTTTCAGTGTTATCCAGAAAACAGTGAACTTGTGGGGTCAGAGCAGTCTGACCCCAGACCCTGTCTCCCTTGACAGTTGCCCTACCCTACCTCAATCAGAAGGGTCAGTGACTCAGAGTTACACTAAGTGCCTGTGGCTTAGTCTACAAATGATCCCTTATACAAGGTGTCAGAGCACCAGGAAAAGGAAGAAAAGGTAGACAATCATGTCATTCCTTCCAGATTTCCTATCAGTATGATAAGTATAATAGCTACATTAGATTATACATCACACTCATGCTTCTCTAAGAAGTCCAGATATGGGATTCATCAACAAAAGTAATGGCATTTATTTTAAAGGTAAGCTTTGTAAACAGAGTTTATACCTAAGGTTTTTTTTATTGTTGTTTTCTGTTTTATTTTTCCTTTTTGTGCCATTGTAAACAGTATTGATTTTTAATTTCTAATTCCAATTGTTCATTGCTAGTATATAGAAATACAATTGATTTTTCTATTTTGTATATTGACCTTGAATCCTACAACTTTGATAAACTTAGTTATTATATCTAGGATTTTTTTCCCCTTAGATTCCCTAGGATTTTTTACATTAGACAATCATCCCATCTGTGAATAGACACTACTTTATTTCTGTCTTTCCATTATACATTCCTTTTATTTGTATTCTTGCCTTATTGAACTGGCTAGGATATCCAGTACTATATTGAACAGGAGTGGTGACAATGAATATCTTGGCCTTGTTGACAAGCTTAGGGGGAATATTCTGTCTTTCACTATTTAGTATGACGTTAATTGTAGATTTTTCCTGTACACTTTTTATTAAGTTGAAGATGTCCTCTTCTATACCTAGTTTGCTGAGAGTGTTACTTTTATGAGCAATATTACATTTTGTCAAATATTTTTTCTGCATATATTAAGAGAAGATCATATGGCTTTTCTTCTTTAGTCTGTTGATATGGTGAATTACATTGATTGATTTTTGAATATTGGACATGCCTTGCATTCTCAAGATAAATTCCCCTTCATTATGATGTATTACCCTTTTAATATATTGATGAATTTGACATGATAGTATTTTGTTGAGGGTTTTTCCTTCTATGTTCATCAGAGATATTGTTTTGTAGCCTTCTTATAATATCCATTTCTGGCTTTGTATCAGGGTAATTTTGGACTCTATTCTGCAAGAGTCTGCATAGAATTGGTATTATTTCTTCTTTATATGCATAGTAAAAATTGCCATTGAAGCCATCTGGGCATGGAGTTATCTTTGTTGGAAAGTTTTAAATTACAAAGTCAATTTCTCCAGTAGATATAGGACAATTTAGGTTGTATATTTCTTCTTAAGGGACCTTTGGTAATTTGCGCTTTTTTACAGAACATAAATTTTAAAATTTATGGGCACAGTGTTGATAATCATATGTCCTTATTATCCTAATAATGTTTATTGGGGTTGTAGTAATGTCCTCTATTTCATTCCTGATGTTGGTAATTTGTGTCTTCTCTCTTTATTTCTTGGTCAGTTTGGTTAGAAGTTTATCAACGTTACGATCTTTTCAAAGAACCAGATTTTTAGATTCATTGATTTTCTTAATTGTTTTCCTTCCCTAAAATTCATTGGTTTCTGCTCTTATCTTTTATAATTTTCTTAATTCTGTTTGCTTTGGGGTTAATTTACTCTTCTTTTTCTAGTTTTTAAGGTGGAAACTTAAGCATTGATTTGAGACCTTTATTCTTTTTTATTATATACACTTCATGGTATATATTTGCCACTTATCACTGCTTTAGTTGCATCCCAAAACTTTTGATATGTTGTGCTTTTCATTTTCATTCCACTAAAATATTTTCTCATTTTCATTGTGATTTTAAGCATTGTTTATTTAGAAGTGTGTTGTATAATTTCTAAAATTTTGGGTATTTTCCAGATATCTTTCAGTCTAACTTTAATTCCATATTGTTCGATAACATATTTGGTATGATTTCACTTCTCTTAAAATTCTTAAAAATATGGTACATCTTGGTAAATGTTCCATGTGCACTTGAAAAAGTATATATTCTGCTGTCGTTGAAGGAAGTATTCTATAAATGTCAATTAGTTCAAGTTGGTTCACAGTATTGTTCAGCTCTTCTATATACTTATGTTTTCTGCCTATTCTATAAATTACTGAGATAGGAGTGTTGAAGTCTTTATATCTTTGGGTTTATCTATTTCTTCTTTCTGTGCTATCAGTTTTACCTCAGTACTTTGAGCCTCTGTTGTTAGGTGTGTACATTTCAGCATTTCTTATGTCTTCTTGGTGAATCTATGCCTTTATCATAATGCAATGATACTCTTTATTTCTAATACTTTACTCCCTTTGCAACAAATGTAATTGCAAAAAACCTCTCTCTGTGGTACAAGATCATTGGTCCACTTCTTAAGCATAATTTCTATCTCATCCCAAATTAAACAAAATGCCTTTGGGGCTTGACAAAATAGAAGTTGACCTATTATTAATTTCAAAGAAGAATCATAATAGTTAACCTTTCATCAGGTGCTTGACTGCTTAGGAAAAATTAAACATTAATGTGTTAGTTTCAGTGAACTTTGCAATTCTGGAAAAACATCCAGTGTTGCATAACATAATTCTTGGAAGGGAACAAAAGAATGTTTTTGGGTCATCACACAGTGAAGATCATAGTGTTCAAATCATAGTCTTACCACTCACTATTGGTGTGATCTTGGTCAAGTCGTATAACTGAACCTCCATTTTATTTGTGGTTCCATCGATATAATGCACCTGCCTTGCAGCAAAGTGATGTAAACTAAATGAGATGCAAGATGAGCACCTGGCACAGAATAGGTGTTCAGTGAATGCTCATTCTCTTTCCCACCTCTTTTATAGGCAGTTGCTAGCCCTTTCTTTGCCTAAGAATGTTCCACTCTCACCTTTAAGGACTCAGGGAGGCTCTTCCTCAAGGATTTCTCAAGCATCTGCAGCACTTGTGGGCCTTGTAAGTGAAACATCTTGGCAGTTACCTTACCTAAAGAAATAATCAAGAAACATCAAGGAATGAGAAGTACTGGAAGACATACAAAGACACAGAACAGACACAATTGGCAGTTCTAGCTAACGGCCTAGCCTTCATCCCTGCCATTTCGTTGGTGCCCCATTCACTAAACTTCTCACTAACTTCAAGGAAGAATAAGACTGGCAGAAAGCACAAGTGCTTCGTTCTGAAATTATTTTTTAAACTTTAAAAAAACTCTCTTAAATTTTCATACCACTCAGAATTCAAATAATTAAAGATGGACTGATATTAACATGTATATATAATCTAAGCATGCATGAGTACCCTTTGAGATTAAATTTCCATCCATGACAAGGCTGACTGCCACTTAGAAGCTATACGACATTGAGCAAGTTACCTAACTCCTCTGTGCCTTGGTTTCTCATCTGTAAATGGCAATGACTATAGTAACTGAGCCATAGATTAGTCTTGACACTTAAATAAATCAATATATGTAAGGTGCTTGGGACAGTGCCTGGAACATAGTAAGCACTCAGTTAATGATTAATATTATTATTACTCTTTTTATTATTATCTTTTGCAGAAGCAACAGTTAACCCATACTTTCATCCAAAAAAGTCCATTGGGTGACTTTTCTTCTGCACAACAAATCGTTGTGAGGATTATTGGGGGTAATTCATGTAATCTGGCACGTGGTAGATAAGATAATGAATTTTAAGTCTTTAGCAGAGTGCCTGGCACAGAGTAGTACTCAATATGTGTAAGCCATTTTAATTATTGCTATCATTACAACATAAATAAAGCATATCTTTTCTTGATTCTAGAGCTCCTCCCAAAAAGAAGAAAGATTTTGCTATGAGCCCTTATACAGGGAACAAATAAATGATGTAGCACAATATTTTCCAAACTTGACTACATGCTAGAACCATCTGAAGAAAAATTTTAAATTATTTAATCCTGCCCCTGCTATATATTTTTTAGAAGGTCTTAAGGAAGTATGAGATCTAGAAATCTGTATCTTAAAAAAGCTCTCATTTATTATTGCTGTTCAGCTTATTTGAGTTATAATTTACATACAATAAAATTCACCAATTTTAAGTGGATACTTTGATGTGTTTTGAAATATATATATATATATATATATTAGTGTGACTAGCACAATAATAATGATATAGACAATCTGAATATCCCCAAAAGTTTACTTACATCCCTTTACAATCCATCTCCATCTCTTACTCTCAGCCCATAGCAATCATTAATCTGATTTCTGGCCTATGGCTTTTCCCTTGACAGAATGTCAAATAAAAGAAATTATTTAGTATGTAACTTTTTAAGACTATCTTCTTTTGCTAGCAAAATGCCTTGAGCTTAGTTCAAATTCTTGCATAATCAACAGTTCATTTCTTTTTATTGCTAAATACTATTCCATTGCTTGGATCTAGCAGGGTTTGTTCATCCAGTCACCCGTTGAAGTACATTTGGGTTGTTTCTAGATTTTTGTGGTTATGAATAAAGATTCTGTGAACATTCACGTACAAATCTTTGAAAATATGCTCTTATTCCACTTGGGTAAGTATGTAGAAATGCACTTGCACGGTCATATAGTAAGCATATGTTTGACTTCATAAGAAGCTGCCAAACTGTTTTCTCAAAGTGGCTGCACTCTTTTACACTCCCAAATCAGTGTATGAGAGCTCCACTTGCTCCACCTTCTCTCCAACAGTCCCCCAGCTGATTTTCTCATGCCACCATATTCAGGAATTGTTGATATAGTAGGTAAAATGTTCAACAACACTCTTCAAATCAGTAAAGCTGGAAGATTTTTAGAACTAATTCTCAAGGCAGGACAGAAAGTTGAGGCCAAAATGTATTTCAATAGATGCACTTCTCTGAGGGACTGACCACGTAAACTTTACCCAAGACCTGTTAACCTGTTCAGTTATATGGGGACAAAAACAGTTCCTTCACTTAACCTGAGTTCCCTTCATGATGTAAGGGGAGGACAATCTTGAGAAACACTAAGGTGTGATTGTATCTTTTTTTTCTTTTTTGCCAGCTTTGTTGAGGTATCATTAACATATAACACTGTGTAAGTCTAAGGTTTACAATATGATGATTTGATACATATATATATTACAAAATGATTGCCACAGAAAGGTTGTTTAACACTTCTATCACATCACATAATCACTCTTTTGTTGTTGTTGTGAGAACATTTAAGATCTACTCTCTTAGTAGCCTTCAAGTATATAATGCGGTATTCTTCATTATAGTGACCATGTTGTACATTAGGTCCCCAGAATTTATTTATCTTGTAACTGGAAGTTTGTACCATTTGACCAACATCTTTCCATTTCCTCCATCCCGAAGCCCCTGTTAACCACCATTCTACTCTCTGTTTCCATGAGTTCAGCCTTTTTAGATTGAACAGGTATGTGAGATCACACAGTATTTGTCCTTCTCTGTCTGACTTATTTCACTTAGCATAATGCCTTCAAGGTCCATTGATGTTGTCGCAAATTGCAGGATTCCCTTTTTTCTCATGACTGAATAATGCTACATTGTATAGATATACCACAACTTCTATATCTATTCGTCTGTCTATGAACTCTTAGTTTGCTTCCACAACTTGGCTATTGTGAATAATGCTGCAAAGAACACGGGAGCACAGATATCTCTTCAAGATAGTGATTTCATTTCCTTCAGATAGATACCCAGAAGTGGAATTGCTGGATCATATAGTAGTTCTGTTTTTAATTTTTTGAGGAGTCCCCATTTGTTTTCCGTAGTGGCCACACCAATTTACGATCCCCCCAAAAGTGCATAAAAGTTTCCTTTTCTCTACACTCTCACCAACACTTGTTACCTCTTGTCTTCATGACAGCCTTTCTAGCAGGTGTGAGGTGATACCTCATTGTGGTTTTATTTCAAGTTCCAATTTCTATTAGATTTAAAATACATTCAATAGTATAATCAGAATAAACATAACACAGATAAGAGAAGATTTTTTTTAAAGGCATTAACATTTGTTGAAAATGTACATATGGCTGAATAATGTGGAAAAGCACTCTGACTTTTGCAACTTTTCTTTTTGCCTGCCAAGCATAATTTAACAAAAATCTAGTAGCCAAATAGTAATTCCCCATACTAAATACATATATACAAAATTTGAACAAACATGATGTATAAGATTCAAAATTTAAAACAAATTTTGTGTTTTACAATCAAGGTACAGTTTATTAGTTTTCTCTGCTGTCCTCTTCCATACTAGACAGAATATTTTTTTTCTTTAATTTTATTTATTTGTTTTTAATTGCAGTAACGTTGGATTATAACATTATACAGCTTTTGGATGTACATCATAATATATTTTGAATTCTGTGTAGATTACATCATATTCATCACCAAAAACTAATTATAGTCCATCCCCTCACATGTGAGCCTAATAACCATTTTGCCCTCCCCTCCTCCTTCCCCCAAGGTAACCGCCAATCCATTCTCCATTGCTGTGTGTTTGTTTGTCGTTGTTTATATCTTCCACTTATGAGTGAGATCATACGGTATTTGACTTTCTCCCTCTGACTTATTTCACTCAGCATAATATCCTCAAGGTCCATCCAGCATATTTTTTTAACTCAGTATCTGATTTAACACCTCTGGTCTGTCTTCATTTTATCTATGCCCTACTTCAAGACAGCTTTCAAAATCTAACTTTTACTACTCTGTCAAAGTCTTACTTAAATGTCAGTTTTTCCCCTATAGACTCCCCTACTCCCTCAATCCAAGCAGAACAAATCACTCTCTTTTCTGCACTCCCCTAGGATTATGTACATATTTCAGTTACAAAACTTGCTACAGCGAATTACAGTTTTTTAGCCTCTAGATTGTGAATCCTCTGGGCAGAGATTCAAGTTATTTATTCTTTTATTATCAATGTTTACCACACTCTTTGACAGCCAATAAGGACTCAGTAAATTTCTGTTTAATGATTGAATGTATGAAGTATTTATATCAACATAACCATCTATTTAGTCAATCCACTTACCAACAGCATAGACTCATTCGTTCATTCAACAGGTACCTATTGAAGGCTTGCTATGTGCTGTGCATGGGAATTTGTAACAGAGCCTTCTTTGAAAAAAGCCCCCGACCAAAATAGAGGGACCTGTGCTGTGTGTTGAAAGATCTCAGACAGTAGCAGTATAATATTTCTGAAGATTTATCTGACATTTTAGCTAGAGGTATCTCACAAAAAAGTTACATGAAAATAAGCAGCAAAACTGAGTCTGATGCCAGATCACTGGGGATTTATATTGATGTACTGCCAAGTACGTTTCGGACAACCTTCTGCACATGCGCGCGCGCACACACACACACACACACAGAAAACACAACCATGATGCTCAATAAATGCAGTTGACAAAAACTGAGGAGACCCAAGGGAGCTTGCACATTTTGGTGGGTTGCCAGCATTGATAATGGGCAAATTCCTCTAAAGGGCAATTTGAAACCATTGACATAGTCATTCCAGTACTTGGAATTTATCCAAAGAACATAATTCAAAGGACATAATTCAAAAGAAAAATGCTCTGTGAAAAATTTTTTAAAGCAAAATTAACTTACTGGGAGGTACTGGATGCAATCCCAGTGTCTTTCTATAAAGATAACTTACAAAAGCAATGAACTTATTATTTTACTACTCTAAAACACATTACTGTGAAAGTTATGATATATATGTTGCTATATGGGAGTGTCTTGAACACGAAAAAGGTGGAAAATGGTAGTACAGATGAGATTTTTAAAATTACATTTCTTTTTCCTTTTTTTTGTGAGGAAGATTGTCACCAAGCTAACATCTGTGCCAATCTTCCTCTACTGTATGTGGGACTCTGCCACAGTGTGGTTTTGTGAGTGGTGCCAGGTCTGTACTTAGGATCGGAACCCGTGAACCCCGGGACATGGAAGCAGAGTACACAAACTCAACCACTACACCACCCAGCTGGCCCTTACATTTCTTTTCATGGTTTTAAATTAACAATCTCATCTGTATTGTAGTCTTTGTACTAAAATCCACTTTGTCTCTTTGAAACTTTAAGCAGGGCACTTAATTTCCCTGGTCATCGTGTATCCAGAGAAAAATTGACTACCTTAGAATGTTACTAGAGCGTTAAATAAGACAATACTTGCGTAGTCTACAAATTGTGTTATATAAATATCACCAGAGCAAGCACTTTCCTTCCCAAAGGCTATTGCATCTTCTGTTCCCCTTCTGCCAGTGGCAAGCTCCCAAATCTCTCCATATTTATTTATCAATTCAGTCAAAAGCCTGGCTTTATCCAGTCAAGAATTCCTCGCAGAACTAGAATATTGCTGTATACACAGTAGGTGCCTAACACAGGTTTCTCAAATAGAAGAGTTTCCTTTTCCCCTAGCATAATTCTTGACACAAATGAGCTGAGCAATTCATATCCACATCTAACAGTAGCATTTTGACTCATTCCACTTCAGCGGGGAAGCAAAAGGAGATGAGAGGTCCCAAAGCAATGATTCTCCTTTGTTCTCACCTGCAAAGCTGTCTTCTCATTCAGTCTCTGCAGAGATCCCCAGGCAAAGACAAGAATAGCAGACTTTTCTAGAAGATGAAATATACTGCCTGGGTATAGTGATCTTGAAGAGTGTACTTTGATGTGTTTTCCCCAAAAACTGCTGAGCCAAAGTTTTTAAGAGAACACATGCACCAACCTGTGAGAACTTCTGGCAACAGGGTGTGAGCTGGAGCCCCTCCCTTCGAGTCCTATTTAGGGAGGTGGCTCTGTAATATTAAGAGATTGGCAGCATGTCCTCTGAGGCTTTTTTTCCAGAAGGCTGAACTTCTTTCTGGTTCCAAAGGTCCTGCCATTATTCAGCAACTTTGAGCTGAAAAATCAGCTGGTTAAGAACAAGGAGGTAGGTGGATTTGTATAAGAAATACCTCTTTCGTTCCTTCTCTGTTCACAAGTACCTGCAGCAGAAGCAAGAGACAGCTACTGTTCAGATCTGATGTATAGAATCAGAGTTCTCTTCTTAACCATAAGCAGAGAAATTACTTATTTAGAAAGACAAAAGGGTTTGGGACCCTCCTGTTTTAGAATAAGCTCAGTGAACATCAAGCAAGATAAACAGAAAGAAAACCACACTCAGACACATCATAATTAAACTACTGAAAACCCAACATAAAGAGAAAAATCTTAAAAGCGGCCAGAGAAAAAAGATGTATTACACACAGGGAAATAAAAATACAAATAATGGCTGACTTTCAGAAGATATATAATAAGGTCTAGAAGATAATAGAATAACATGTTTTTAATGCTGAAAGAAAAATAACTCTCAACTCTCAATAAAATTCCCTATAGAACAAAATATCCTTTCAAAATGGAGGCAAAATATAAACGTTTTCAGATAAACAAGGCAGACTGCCCCACAAGGAAGACAGTCCATAGGCTAACAGGAAATGAAATTCAGTGACATTTTTGGAACCACGGTTAGGAAGGGAAAGCATAAAAATATTAAATAGTTTAAAACTTATTTTTCTTTCTTTTCTTAAATTGTTTAAACACAATTGACTTTTTAGTTCAAACATAATAACTGTATACTACAGAGTCATAGCATATGTAGAAGTAAATTATTTAATAATAGCATGAGGGGGAGCAAGTGGAATTATCTTGTCGTTAAATTCTTATGTGTGAAGTGGTGTAACATTAATTCAAGATAAAATAAAATAAACTAAGAATGCTCATTCGTAATTATTAGAGGTCTAAGCCATTAGACTGTGACATTTCCCTGGGAAGTGTAAGACTAGTTGGAATTTCTCTCTCTGTGTCTCTCTTGCTGCATGTTAAGAAGCCCTATACTGGCAACCAAATCACAACCATAAAAAGAACCAGCCTTAGGATGAAACCAATGGTGATCAAAGAAAGAGAAAGAGGGGCTAGCCCCATAGCGTAGTGGTTAAGTTCAGCGTGCTCTGCTTCAGTGGCCCACTTTGCAGGGTTGATTCCCGGGTGCAGACCTATACCACTCATTGATGGCCATGCTGTGGCGATGACCTATATACAAAATAGAGGAAGCTTGGCAACAGATGTTAGCTCAGGACAAATTTTCTTCAACAAAAAAAAAAAAAGAGAGAGAGAAAGAACCCGACTCCTTGATGACATCATTGGACTGCTGATAGGCATCAGCCTCAAGGCTGATCTACATTTAGACTTTCAGTTTTGTGAGATAACAAATTTCCTTCTTACTAAGACCATTTTGAATCAGGGTTGTTTTTTTCTCGCTTGAAGCCGAAAGCATCCAAACTAATATACCATATGATAATATCATGGAATCATTTAAATTGTTTATCAAAAGACTTTAACAATATGGGAAATATGTAAGCCATAACAGTGAGTATAACAAAGTTAAATATAAAATGTCAGTATTTTTCTTTCAAGGTTTTGAGAAACTGAAGGATCTAATATTACTTCATAAACTTCTAGTATATTCCAGACACTGTATGTATTAGATTTATTTATATCCTTTCTTACTTCATCTTCACAACTACCTTATGAAGTTTCATTCATTTATTCATTTATTCATTTATTCATTCATTCGTTCATTCACTATTTATATTCATTCACTACTCATTCATTCAGCAGGCATTGACTGATAAATCTCTGGCTAGGTCTTTGGACTAAAGTTTCAATATGCTCTTTGCTTTCGTGCAGTTTACTTTCCAGTGTCGGGGAGTGGACAAACATTTAACAAATAATTGTACAAGTATTTAATTGCATTTGAGACAAGTTATATGAGGGAGAAATACAGGGTGCTAGGAGAACATACACATCAGGAGAAACTGATCTAGTTGGGATATTAATGGTGGCTAGGTCAAGGAAAACTTCCCCTTGGAAGTCATCCTTAAGCTCATATCTGAAGGCTGCACAGGTGTTTTCAGGGATGGAGTAAGAGGAGGCATAAGGAACCAGAAGAGCTATAGACTGTATAGTTTCTGATGTCTGTCCCAGCTCAAACATCCAAAGATGTGGCGTAACAGATTCAAGGTTTGACATGCATGTAATAGGTCTCATTAACTTATCAAACAAAAGCAAGGGGCAGGTATAATAGAAATTGTATGATAAATATTCTTGGACTCCAACAGACTAAGATGATTTGGGGCCACCAGTGGAGCCAACCTGAGTAGGGGTACATTTCCACTAATGCCAGCTACAGGATGCAACTCAGAAAATTGAATGTTCCATGATCCTTAGGGGTTGTTCATTTTCCTGTCACATGTAATAAAATGGGATGACTGTTCAAAGACGTGTTTCACCGTGTGTCCTGTGACCTGCCCTGAGAAATCCTGGAGGTGGAGATCAGGGTGGGTAAAAGCCATTCTCACTTCTCAGGACTGCTCCATCACACTCTAGGAGATGGGATATCCTTTTGGGCCCAATAGGCAGGGAAATTTCTGACGCAGCATTGGACGTAACTCAGGCTGCATTCATTCTGACCAAATGTCCAGTTACTGTTCACCAGCCCTTCATGGAAGACCTCTAGAGAAAACATTTTGAAGCCCGTGTTTGCTTTGCAAAGAAAAATTCCCAAGTGAGAACCAGGTAATATAGAGATTAAGGAAGAATATTTTCATTCTGGCTCATTCTGCCATATATCCTGCACATATGCCCACAGGTTCCTCCTCATATCTCAACTCCATCACCCTATATCCAAATTCAACCACAGTCCTCAATTCATATCTCAATCTGGCCACTTACATGCATGACAATCCAAACCAGTTTATCCCTATACCTCCCTCCTATCCAACACACCCCAAGCAACTCTACCCTCTGGTGCAATTTTAACTCCTCGGGCTATTGAGCAATGTATTTACGGCAAACAGAGGTGCCCAAGATCTATTCTCACCTCTTTTGTTCTCCATCATTTGGGCTGTGTACCTCAGAGGAGGTTCCAACTTGAATTTTTGGGAATCCCTGAGTTGGTTTAGATAGCATCCAGTAAGCAGTAGATTTTTCACATAGTCCATTTGAATTAACTTTAAAGATGCAGTTCTTCTTATCACCTGATCCAAACTCTCCTGACAACCCTGACAGATAATAACAATAAACAATGACATGGAACATTGAATGTTCACTATGTTCTAGGCACTGTGAGAAGCACTTTTCATGCATTATCTGTTTTAGTCATCATTATCACTCCATAAAGAATCTTCCATTATTGTCCATGTTAAGATGTGATAACTCAGGCTTAAAGAAGAACCTTCAAAAAGAGAAGAAATGTAGCCTAGGTATTAACTCAAGACCATTCTCTGTCTCCCACTCCACATACTCCTACAGCTATTTTATGGGCCAATAACTTAATTTTAGCATATCTGGAAACTTTAAAAAATAAAGTCCAGCCCAATTCTGCCACCTTACTATAACTGCTTCCAACCACCCCCACTTCCACCTCAAACACACATGTATTTGTTCTTTGCCTCTTTCCTTGTCTTAATACTAAAGACAAGGATAAGTATGTGTATAGGTGGAAAGGTGTTCAGCAAACTCAGACAGGACTGGTACTAGTGGAAAATCCAAAATACTTTAACTTACTTTGTTATGTTCCCTTTCAATGCTCTTTTCCTAACTCATCTTCTGGAAAACCATCCTCTCCCTTTCTTTTGCTCCTTTCTCAGAAATAATTCCTTGTTCTCTGGTTGCCCCATCATAGTCCACTGTGTCCCTGTTCCAAATGTTTCCAAGTTACCCTAAATGTCCCTTTTGCACTAGATGTTAGGAATGCAAACTAATCACATCACACTATTACAACCAACTGATAAGGTAGCTGTTTGTATCCCACTAATTGGCTCACCCTCGTACCCCCATCCTCTGTTCTCACCAGCTGCCACTTCTAAACTATCTCTTTAAATGTTCTTTTAGATAGATTTTGTTTGTTTGTTTGTTTCATTTAGCTTCTATTATTAGAGAAAAATATTATTTGACACAATAGACTCAGAGCATTTGTCCATTTTTACTCTCTTCCTGGAACTCCTATAATCTCAGTCATTTCATGCTTTTGGATATTGCGTCCACCTAGCCAGCTTACAAAAAAGAACAGTAAGGAAGAGGGGACAACTAGTACAATTTCTGAGGGGCCTCAGCTTCTCCTCCTGGCATACAATTTTTTAAAGCTCGGCCCATTAATGCTTTGTTTGGCTACACTGAGATAATACTCATTGTTTTCATTTGTACAAATTAACATTTATGCCAAATGGCCATGCAATCTTGTGAACAACATACATACTTTAAAATAGATGTCATTTTCTTTTGTTGCAGGTTTATTTCAACACCAGACTCCACATAATGTCAGTCTTTACAGTCTATAGTACATGGCGAGCTGCTCACAATACACAACAATTTGAACAAACACTGAGACTGAGATGGAGGACTCTTTTTCTTCCCTCTTTCTCTGGTTACCATGGATTTGGAAGGCTCATTTCAGTTGATAACCCTATGAGAATCCAGGGTTTCCTGGAGTTTTTGAGGAGCCCTGATGAAGATGTGATATGTGTTGTAATAATGGTTCAAATTATCTGTCATCTCCTGTATGGAATGGGGAAAAAGTAAGGGAGATGTGAGTAACTGCTGCTTCTCTCTCACTCCTACATCTATGCATCCAAGTCTATCTTGTCTTATTAGGTGGCAGAGCCAAGATTTCAAGCAAAATAAACATAAAGAGATTATAG